CACAGACTTCAGCCCCCACCACAGCCCCAGTCTATCCAGGGTTATTTGCTTATAAGTTTTAAGAAGTTTGATTTGGTTTTGAGAACGTAAACTTAGTTTCTTTTCTAATTGTTTTGGTCTTTAACTCCTGAATGTGTCTACTCTGCCACAGAGCTGTTGTCTTCCAGGACCTGCTTTGGGGGCATCTTCCTGCAGCTAGAACCTCTCTAGGTCCCCTCACCCCTGTGATCGTGGTGCCTTGGGCCAAAGCTTCCTCAAGCCTGGTCTGCTCCTTCTCCCACATCCCTGCTTTCTGAGGTTGGGTCACGGCTTACAAGGGGTCTCACAACTTGTTTCCTCTGGGCTCAACCTCTGGAGTGGCCAGGATTGATGGTTTTGTGGCCTGTTATAGGCAGGGAGATTGGCTGATGGCAGGATTGAGGGAGCCAACCTTTGATAGGAATTTTACTAATAAATTTAAAGTGAAAATGTCATTCACAATTCTGCTGGCACTAGCATGTTAGGATTTCAGAACTGTGGTGCGCACAGGGCTTCCTGGAGAAAACATGCCATACAGTAGCCCCTCTCCTGCTGCCTAGAAACCAGACCGGGCGCTACCCTGTGACATCTCGGTGGTTTACAGAGTCCTCTGGATTTCTTTATATTATCAGGGATATTCGTAAGCATATATTAAAAACAAACCTATTTTGATATTGTTCTGCTATGAAAATGTTATTAGAACCCTAATAAATTATTTCCCCCCTTAACTTGTGCTGAAGGAAAACATACTGGCTTAAGCTTACTTGTGAGCAGGGCAGCGAGAGCCCTGCTGTGGGAGAGGCAGCCTCCCTAGGCTGCGCGAATGATGAGCTTTATGTATATAAGCGTTAATGCCCACAACTAGTTCCCTAATGACTAAGATCTTTTGAAGAACCTCAAGGAATGCCGTATAAAACCCCGTATTGGAAGGGAGGTCCTTTCAGTTGGTTTGAAATCTCTTTAAAGCCCTTCAGTCTATGGGGAAAACACCCTTTGATAAATGGAGTTGCTCCCCCTGGAGCAGGGCTGGGCAACATCTGGCCTGAGTCATATAAGGCCCATGGAAATCATTGGGTCTGGCCATGCCAAGGCATTAGGGGTAAGCTAATTAAATGTTTGACCGAACATACCAGGCTGATTTTTAAGTTGATAATTTTGTATGGCCTGTGAATAATGTTATAAATACCCAAAGGGCCCTTGGCAAAAAAGGTTCCCCACCCCTGCTCTGGAGGAACAAAGTCTGTCCTGACAATAGATGACAAACTGAGTTGTGTGACTACAAGCATTTGAGGCTTTGGGGCCACAGTGGTTATTAATATCCCTTTGTGTGTTCAGCAGCCATGTAGACGAGTGTCCACTGATCCCTGGATGCGGTGAATGAGAACTACAGAAAGTCAAGGCCTCAAAGAAATGATCCATCCCATGTTTCTCTGATCACACCCAATTACAGATCCTCATGAAGAGGGTGTGGAGCTGGAGGTCTTATGGCCACAGGAGATGCTGTGTGCCCGGGGCTGGCCTTGTAGAAAAGGGTAAAAAGCCTTTCACCCTAGGTTGGAAAGCTCAGAGTGTCTCTGAGTTTGTTTACAACCCCAGCTAGGGAGCCCTTCCAAGTCAGGATTTCTGCGCCCCCTCTGCAAGGTTGCACAAGTAGTGGGCCATTGTGGCCTGCAAGTGTATATCTTCTCAAATGTGTAACTACCAGAATGTTCCTCCTTCTGACAGGTCAGGATCAGGTCTGAGGTGACGCATTACATTGCAACACAGTACAAATCCCCCAGTGCCGAAGGGCTTGTTCTCTGAAAGGCACTGTTCCTCCTTGTACACTAACCAAAACACCTCCTTTTGTACCTGTTGTTCATAGCTAGTTTTCTTGAGTGTATTGGACTGTCTCTTCTTGGGGAGACGGATTTTGGCCAACATGTGGCAGTTAATGCATGTTTTATGCAAAAGACTATGATATTGTTGCTTTGAAGGAATTCCGGCATTGTATGTCCATTTTTGTAGAATTGTTACTGGACTTATAACTACATACCAAACTCCAATCAGGTTTCTGTAAGATTAAATAAAACCAATTCAAAATAGTGGCTTTTCAAATTGTTTTTAGTTATTTAAATGTGCACAACCTCTCAGTGCCTGTTATAAGGAAATGAGTATACTCCCAAGAGCTATTCCTCCCCTGGGGTCCTGCTCAGGTAGGGGACTGGTTCATTTCTCCTATTTCATAAGGTGAGGCCTGGCCTGAGGTCCCTGGCTTTACAACACCTGGGAGAGAGCTGCCATAGTCCCTGCTGGGACCTAAATCAACAGCAGAACAAAGAAATGGGCTTGGGTTGTTTGTTCAGGTGCTACTGTGCAGGAGAGAGGGCTAGAAGCCCACAGGAAAACATGAGGTCCACCTAATGGTGGCCATTATTTCAGTAGTAAATGTGAAAACAAACCAAAAAGTCAATATAGAGGCCCACCTTTGGCCTTCCCCCAGTTTTTGCTTCCTAGGAAAGACCAGTGGGCATCACCCCGTGAGTTATGCTCAGGTAAGTGAAGGCTCCTTGCAGCCTTAGAGCTGCTTACGTACCTGAACCTGGAGTCACCAACTAGCTGTGGAACCTCAGCTTCTTGGAGCCTCAGTTTTCACATCTGTAAAATGGGGATGGACAATTATATTCTTAGGGTCATTGTGGGTGGACAAAATGAGATCATATGCACAAAAGCTCCCGGCTTGTGGCTGTGCTCAGCAAACCTTTGATGTACAAGTGAGCACTCCCATTTGTGTATTTCACCAACGGTGTAGCACAGCACCCATCGTGTGGCAGGCATCGGGCCGGGATCCACAGTGGGGAGAGCATAAACGACAGAACTGAACCAAGTCTTCCAGCATCTTAACTACTCCAGGGTTTTCTAAATCTTCCAAGAAACATGAATTCTGCTCGGTCTCCCACAGCAAGGCTGGGAACGGAGACCAACATTGAACTCATGCCCTTTCCCCTACCTGATGCCTTCTGCTCTCTCCCCACACCCAATCATCAAGTCCTACAGATATTATGCCCTAATCATATTCATATTTGAAATCCTCCTCTTGGTTCTGAGCTCCTCGGGCTGTCCCCTGGAGGGCTGCCAGCCCCCTGCCTGATTTTCTGATCCACTCCTGCTCCTCTTCAATTGAGCAACAGACCATGCCAATTCGATTACATTTTCTCCGTTCAAAACCCCGTAGCAGCTTCCTGTTGCTGTTGGTAGCAACATCTTCTGAGGCCTGGCAAGGTGAGCCCAGACACCACGAAGCTTTCCCTAGTGCTCAGACAGCCTGCCTCAGCCTCCACCTCTGCCTGGAAACCTCCCCAGAATCCCTCCTCGTCCAGTCGTCCTGACTTCCTTTACCTGCACTCTGAAGTCTTCCCAATCCAAGAACCGGCCTTACCACTACAATTGTCTTTTCTTCCTTGAGATCCTAAAATTGCAATGGGTGGGACTGTGGCTGTCTTGCTATTACTGTCACCTCAGGACCTAGCTGTGTCTGGCAGGTAGAAGTTGCTTATTTGATGTTTGCTGAACAAAGGAATGCCTACCTCCACCCTGCACAGTTATGTTCCCCCTGCCTGGGCCACCATACTTTCTAGGCTTATTAGCTGCGTGACCTTGGACAATTTACTTACTGGGTATCTGCTTCAGTTTTCTCATTTGTAAAATGGCACCAAAAATAGTATGTAATTCAGGAAGGATTAAAGAAAACAGTACCTAATTAAACGATTGAAGAAGGAAAGAGTGCACAGCACTGGAACCAGCATATTTCTCCTCATTCATTCCTGGGCCACATCAAGCCAGCCTTTCCCCCCAGCCATGATCACCAGATAATCAGAATATACTGTTCTGATTGTTTCCACGACAGTCATTTCCAAGTTTCTGAGACTGGGTATCCTATCTGTTTTGTCTGGGGCTCCAGATTCCTGGGAAGAGTAGATTCAAACATTTCCTCATGCACCAAGTAGAAATAAGGCCTAAGGTAGTGAGGGAAGCCAGCCTAAACTCTTCCAGGGGAAATCCACAAGTAAAGACATGAACGTTGACTTATTCGACTTTCTTTTACCTCAGATTTTTGTTTGATACTCCACAGTTAAACCTAAGAGGGTTATAGGATTACCTTAGTGAAGCATGAAGGGCAAAATAAGATGGAACTTGTTAGTGGAATGCTTAAATTTAAATAACTACTTTATAGCAATTAAAAAATGGAAATTAGAGAACCTTCTATTTTGCATGTTTTTGTTTTTTTTTTTTCAGAAACCGAGACACTAGATCAGCAGTTCTCAACCTGTGAGTCGCGACCCCTTTGGCGGTCGAACGACCCTTTCACAGGGGTCCCCTAAGATCATCCTGCATATCAGATATTTACATTACGATTCATAACAGTAGCAACATTACAGTTATGAAGTAGCAACGAAAATAATTTTATGGTTGGGTCACAACATGAGGAACTGTATTTAAAGGACCAGAAGGTTGAGAACCACTGGTCTAGATCATGACTCCATTTCCCTTTCAAATTGAAAAATATTAGTAAGCCTGAGTGTGAAAGAGAAAAAAAAAGCTCAGATTCTGAGCCAGGTCTCTGACACCTGGAGGCCCGTGAATCTTGGGATCCGCCTGGTCTCTGACCCCAGCGCTTGGCACATTCCAGGTGCTGGGTCCACATGGTGGAATGTTGAGCTTCCTCTGGAGACTCCCATGCAAGTAACTTTTTGCTCAAATTTGTAAAATAAATCTCTCAGAAGTGCCCCAATGAAAAAGTAGAAAATATAATGACCTTGATTCAAATGAAAATATAGTTCCAAGAAAACAATAAAAAAAAGCCTCTGAATAATGGCAATCCTAGAAACAGAGGGGAAGTTTGTGTAGAAAACTTCCCAATTTTACTCTTGAGGGTACAATCGCTTCTGGAATTGAGGACTGCAGGCCACATTGCTAAAACAGACTGCATCCAACTCAGCAGGTTCTATACAAGCCATTTATTTGAAATGCCAACTATATGTAGGATAAAGTCAGTGTTACATGCTTATCAGTAACAGTAGAAAAATAGAACCAGTGAAAACCTTTGTACAACGGTAATGATACTCAAAAGAGAGATGTATCGTTTTACAATGCTTCACACAGACAAATTCAAGTTTGGAGGTACCTAAATAAAAATACTATATATTTCCTTAAAAAACACTATGTACAATTGAAGCGTAAACAAGTTTTACAAAGTACTGGTTATGCAGGTTGTAGAAAACACTTGCATAGGACATGAAATCAGTTTAAGAAAAATTTCTGAGCCTTTAGCATCGAAGGCACTTGACTTTATACCAGTAACAGCACAACCACAAGAAATGCAGTGTTGTAGAAGTACTTCTGAAGTATAGATGCGGGACATAAACAGCAAGAAGTTCAAGAACCTTTACCTTTCAGCCACCCCATCGAAGAGCAGGATCCAGACCACCTGCTTACAGAACAGTCAGGTGCAGGTACATGACGAAGCTTCCAGAGCTCATCTCTGAGAGCCCACATAAACACACAAACACAAGAGGTTATTTTCAAGACACACACTTGCAACTAATCTTTCTATAGAAACAACCACAGCAATATAATATTTAGAATATGGAAGATTGACAGACGGTCAGAGTTTTCTGGAGGAAAAAATATCAAAGACCTGCCAATACAAGAATTACATAACAGCTATTGCAAATTTATCAGACAAAAAGACAGCTGAACATTCAGAAAACGTTGCTCATTCAACAGTGCTGATGGAAAACAGTAAAATACCTTTTAGCGTGTGATGGTAACTCTTTCAGTAAGGTTATCTGTAATGAGGTTTCAAAGTAAATTACTTAGTAGACGAAGTAAACCACTGCAGAATTGGGAATAGCACCCATCACTGCTGCTTTAATAGTAACTTTCAATAGAAAGAAGTGAATCAAATAATTTTTTAAAATTCAAACATTTCCCTTTGAGTTCAGTCCTAAGATATAAACATGAATGCCTTAGAAATGCAAAACAAATACAAGTGTTTCATGAAACATATTTCCTAAAAGGCAGATTAAACATTATGAAAATACGTATTTTGCTGAGTAGTTACTGAGAAATGTTAGACCTTCTTCTCTAGAGATGGACACATGCAGGCCCTGCTGCCTCAAGGCTGTTCCCCTCACACTCCGCACCATCACCTTAATTCAATGGACAAGTATTGCCCATTGCCAGAACTTGAACAACCAATCAAAAGAAAGCCCAATAAAGGATAGCAATTATAATAAAAACAGAGTTTGAGGGAGCAAAACTGAGAATTAGATGAAGTTTTAGAGAGTTATACAAAAGGATTCAACAAAAGGACCTTGTTAAAAATCCATAAAGTCTAACTGGTTATCAAAATGTCAGGAGAGTTTAGGTCTAGGGACACACACCTCAAAAAAGCTGAGGGGGCAGGTGAAAAAGGGTATGGTATGCGGAAAATTCAAACCACCATTTTTCAGGAATAATTTCGCCTTTCATGCTTTTTTCCCTTAGGAGTCACAGGTGACTTTGAACTTAAATTGTTCATCAAAATCACAAAACTAAAAAAAAAGACCAATAGCATCTTGAAGAAACGCCAAAATTCTTTGTGATCCAGGAACAAAATGGTAGTTCTGTAACCTCCACCCAGTGGGCACCCAGAGTGGTGATTGTCTGACGGCCTGATTGTCGGGGCCTCGAGATAAGATCTGATACTCTGCGATTTGGTTCTCACAAAATTTCTACACTGAGTAAAATGCCAGGTCCTGTGGCCAAATTTTACATTGTACATGTGTGTGTGTTTTCTGAGAGCAATCCTACTCAGACTTCACATTTTATCTTAGTACAGCATTAAAATATTTTAATGCTTAGTAAGCATTAAAAAAGATTAAATAGATGGGTTCAAAAGCCAGAGGCACAGAGCTATTCAACCTACCTACCCTATTAAGCACACTTCACAAGACACACTGAAAGTCTAACACCTACCCGAGCACACACAACCACATCTGTTTATCTTCGCAAGTCACATCAGCTCACAATCCCATGGGTTAAAGTAAGTTTCTCTTTGTACACGTAGTTCAGCCAGGTAAGCTACTAAATTATTAAAAGCAAACTTCATAAATTAAACGAAACTATGAACAGTGGCCACTTATTTTTATAATTACACTTCGGGGATATGAAAGAATATTTAATAAATTTTCAGGAGAATAAATGTGTGACATCAATAGCTCTTGTCTAAGGTTGTTATTGTTTTTTTTAAATTAAAAAACACAGATCAAGTTTTTTCCACCCAAATTAACTCTACTCACTCTTGTTTGTAGTACCAGCACAGTAGAGTCTGAATTCAGGATATTTAAAACTACATCAAAGTAATTCATGTCAACACAAGTATATAAACACACATTAAGGAATATAATGGAATTAATTTTAGCTTCTGGGAGACAGACTGAGATTGGCTTCAAAAGACACCATAATCTATTAGAGTCAAACCTCCTAAAAATGGAACAGTCAGTCCTGTTTTTCTGTCTTTATAAAAGGGAGCCTCAAAGGCAATGCACAGCTGACCTTACAAATAGGTTAGTGTTAACTCTGGAGCTCAGTACGCAACCTCACAATGCGGGCGGACACTCCAGCAGCAGCTAAGAAGTCGGGTAGCAGAACGAGAGGCAGCAGTGTACCGGTGTACACAGACATACCGATGTTTCTCATCTTTGAGACGACCTACTGTCAGGATTTTTTAAAAATGCCAGATTATTCCTGAGTGTACATCCACAGGGTAAAGTAGGAAAAGAATGTAAGAGTATCTACAGTTTTGGGAGGAATCCGAGTTGTTGACACCCAATAGAAACCTATTGACTTAAAAGTGCATGTAATTCATTTATGTGAGCTTGTAAAGGCTCCCTAGCCCTGCATAGTTTTAGAGTGAGTGTCAGTGTTTCATAGTTTTATATATATATGTGTGTGTGTGTGTGTACGTGTGTGTGTATATATATATATATATATATATACACACACACACAGAAAAGAGACTCCCAAACACACACGCCCCCGAGGGACTGTGCAGAAACTCTCTTCTCTTCTAAGTGCTACGGCTGTGTGTATGTGACTGTAAAAATACAAAGTGAAAGCTCGAATAATGTTGAAGTGATTTAAAAACTCAAATACTAATATATTTACATTGGAGAGTAAGAAAAAGTCCTTAGTTCACACATTGCCCTTCCAAGGGAGAAGATCTTAAAGATCCCATGTGCTCAGTGGTTCAGTAAAATCCCAAACCAGCATCCCTAGTGGAGTTCAAGTAGGACATGTAGTGTTTTCACTGGAAAAAAAAAAAAAAAAAAAAAGTTTTTTCTCTTTTGGTAATGAAGCGTTATGCATTATACAATTTTTTTATAGGACACCAAAATTCAGACACACTTTAAAAACATTTAAAAGAAAACATATGCTTACAAACACCAAATGACATCGTAAGACTGAAGCCCTTGTTTTTTGTTTTCCCACAGAGAGCAAGACAACTGAAGGCAGCAAGCAGTCACTTCCCCATCAGCTGGAGAGTCGAGGACGCTGGAACCAGAAAGCCCGTGGTGCAGGCTGGAGGTTACGTCGCCATCTCCACGGCGTTAGGATTCTAAGAACTCCATCTCTTTAGAGTCTCATCTCATGACTCTAGTCCATGCTACCAGAATCTGCAGCGGCTCCGACGGCATCTGCACTGTGAACACAGCAAGAGCAGCCTGGGTACAAAAAGCTTTTCTCCTTCCTGTTCTCTAGTGAACTAGGAAACTCCAGGATCCTGACGGGACTCCCACTGAAGGAACGAAGACCAGCTCCCCAGACTTATTAAAAAAGAATGACAATAGATTTAAAGAGACTGAGCAGGAAGATTTCCGAACCAAAACAATTATTGAAAAGAGAGGAGCATTTTGATGTGCTGTTCTTTGGAATTTCTATAATTAAAAAATAAACACAGAACTATTTCATAAGAAAATACATCTTAGTGTGCAATCCAATGCACATGGAAATTGGTAGATGAATGGCAAAATGCAAAAAAGTATGAAAATACAGTCCTTTAAATGCGGCAATAAAGTTTAACATACTGATATAAAATCAATACAGATAAAATAAATGGACAAGTGCAAAAAATTCATCTGTAAAGAGAAAAAAAAGTGCCAGCTTGCTTGCTGTTAAAAATGCTTCCCCACACAATTGTTCAAACACAAAATAGACAGATGCAGCATTCAAAATAACCCTCTTAGCATGCCATGTCTAATAAACATGTATGTACAAAAACCGGAATAAAATAACTGAGTTATCAGCTGGCATCAATAAGCGGGTCTCCAAGTTGCTGGGTTACATAATAAAATGGGATGTTTCACATCTCAGGCACAGACGACATGGAGGTTGCTCTCAGAGGGCAGACTTTTTGTAAAGGAAGTCCGGTTTGCTTGGTGACCTCCTTCCTCTGCTTACTGAATCCTCCCTTTCCAAATCCATACTTCGCTGAGCTCCATGGCCCAGGGACTCGCTGTCAGCTAGTCTTCTACTGGATCTCTCTTCTGGAGCTTCAGAGCTACATGCAGGATGTGAAGGTCTGTTAGGAGTCAGCCCAAAAGTCAAGTCAGTTTCTACTGCTGTCCGCCCCCTGCCGTGCGCCGGACCGCTGCCAGCATTTTCCGGGGCGGCCAGAGGAAAGTCTGACCGCGGGGGAGGTTGCTCAATGACATCGAGGTGTATTGGCTCGTTCTTTTGTTTGTGTAGATTCCCATCAGGGGACAGCGGATAATCTCTCCTAGCTTCTTCCTGCTTTTTAGGAGAGGTCTGGCCAGGTAGGTAGGCTGACTTTAAGCCACTTGGTGATGCTTTATTGTGGCTGTACAGGTCAGGACCGAAGTATCCACCTTGCGAAGGGGAAGGGGTGCGTCTGCCAGGAGCAGGAGTAGAAGGTCTGCAAGCAGTATTTGAGAAGTCATAGAAATCCGGATATTCCTGCTGATTTTCTCGAGCATCTGTCTTTTGCTCTAGTGTGTGTTTCTTTCGAGACGTGTGTACATGCCTCTGTGGGACACACGCCAGATGCTGGGGAGGCCCTGGTCCTACTTCAGAAACTGACTGGCTTGATTCTGTGTCTACAGCAAGCTCTGGAAGCCTCCTGTCCTTGAGTGACAATGTGGACACACCCATGGCAATATCCGGCATTAGGTCATTTAGCACAGGCTGTGTACACTGTGAACAGAGACAAAGGGGGAGGATGAAAGTACAGCCCAGGACTCCTTTGTGAAAATGATGTCTACTGATTTTGTTTCCTCATTATAAAATACATGCTTGTTTTTAAGAATGATAAAAATACAGACAACGAAAGGCAAAAAATAGTAATAATAACCCTAACCTTCCCTGAGATAACCACTTAGCATTTTGAGGTATTTCACCTTTTTTCTTTGCATATATATATGTTATCACAAAATTTAGTGTATATATATAATTCTGTCACCAAATTTTCTTTGAGATTACTATTTAAATTACTGTGTAATATTCCATTGTGCTGATGACTTATCAAGTCATTCTCCCACTGTTGGGAGATTAAAGTTGTTTCCAATTTTTCATTATTACAATTAAAACTATAATGAACATACAAATAAATTACCTTTAAGGGAAGTTTTTTAAAAATTGAATTTATTAGGATGACATTGGTTAATAAAATTATGTAAGTTTCAGGTATACAATCCTACAATCCATCATCTGTGTATTGTATCATGCGTTCACCACCCTTCTATGACCATTTATCCCCCTTTACCCTCCTCTACATCCCCCTCCCCACCCCAAGGGAAATTTGGTGTATCAAACATGACCAACCTTTATTATTTCTCCTTGGGGGGAGGGTAGGGGGGGGTGTTGAGGGGCACAGCAGGGGGAGTGGGTAGAAGGGTAGAAGGTGAGGAAAGATCACAACGTGACCCAAGGTGTACACTAGTCCCTAGGTTCCAAAAAGCCCCATTTTAATGAAGACTTCCTGAACTAATACACGTGTCTTTTGTTTCTCTCTCTATTGAATGCTCGTGACAGTGTGAGACTGAGCAGGACGAGTAAAAAAGTCATTACTGGGTGTGTTTTTTTCAAATTCAACCTCTAATGCAGTGTGTAAAACTAAGCAAAGACTTCTTGCTAGATTCACCAGCTACTAATGCTGGTGACTGTGGTTCCCAAATGAGGGCTCTGACGGCAGCTTGGAAGGCAAAGGCAGGCACAGGACTGCTTTCCTTAATGGGAAATCTGCTACACTTTTCCCGATGGGATGCTCCCTGCCCCCTCAAGGCACTTGGTAGAATAGCTGATTCTACAGAATACACGTTAGGGACAGACTCTAGACATGTGCTTGAATAGAGCACTATGAAACTGGCAAAACAGCCATTTATGTTGCCCAACAACCCCACCCCTTCCCAAAGGAAAAGAAAGATAAGGCAGGCACTCAACTACACCTACCAGCCTCTCCTCTCTGTCCTTTCTCACTCCCCCACACTCTCTTTTCCATACCACTCAAGTCTATGCTTTCAGCTTGTCAGTAACACTTCTGGGCATTGTTGAATTCCAGTAGGGCTCTTAAGAGGGACTTGCTTCTAATAGTCCAGAAACTTTTATTTTTTAGGTAAGTTCCTGGGGTGTTCACTTACCACTTGTTTCTCAGATACTATTGCTGTGGAGGTGGTAGCGGCGGCGGCGGCAGCGGCGGCGGCGGCAGCAGCTACTGTCCGTCTCCCCAGTCCTGTGGTGTTGGTACAATCAGGTGCTGGGGCTTTAACACCTGGCAGATAGACTGGAGGGGGGCCGGCTTTAGGAGCCGTTCTGGAGTGAAACAGTGAATGATTACAGGGATAAGAAAATGAACGTGAAGGATGCTGACTGGGAGTTCTTTGCTTCCAGCCTGCTTTGAGTTGGTTATGGATGGGAGTAGCTGGGGGATGGTATGGAGGTGGTGGAGGGGGCAAAGGTGGATGGAAGGCCACAAAAGAGTCTAGATCTGTAAACATGGTTTCTGCAGTGGGGGTGCTGTTAACACGACATCTCCCAGACTGTCTCAGTGTCAAGAGCGGACTTTCATCCCCAAAACGTTCATCAGGAAAGAACTTGTGAGGATTCTAAGAAAGATTAAAGAGAAAAAAAGAGATTAGCAGATTTCATAGATGAACATTCACGGGCTGAGAGGCTGAAGTGAGGACCTAAGAAAATCCCATTCAGCAGAGTAAGAGGCGTATCATGTTTTTCTAGGCCACAGGCTTCCAGGAAAAAATCACCTGAGTACAAAAGGAGAGAGTGCAGCCTCTGTAGCCTAGCACGCACACAGCCATCAAAAAGAGCTGCCTCACTGATTATTCCAGTAAGCAGGCCAGTAATCTCGTGAAGGATTCTCTCTCTATATAAACAGGTAATATGCAAATTAGCCGGGCATCACAACCGGCTCAAGGAGGCTGCATCACGATCACTCAGCAGCCCAGGTCCTGGGTGCCGGAGGGAAACTGGTGCCAGCAGCCAGGGGAAGGCAGGCCTATTCTTGCACGAATCTTCGTGCATCGGGCCTCTATAATAAAAGCCTAAGCGACCGTTACAGCAGAACAACCAGAACAACCAGTCACTATGATGCGCACTGACCACCAGGGGGCAGATGCTCAACGCAGGAGCTGCCCCTTGGTGGTCAGAGCACTCCCACAGGGGGAGCACTGTGGTGAGCACAGTGGTGGTGGTGGAAGCCTCTCCTGCCTCCATGGCAGTGCTAAGGAGCAGCGAACAGCAGGTGGTAAGGAGCAAGGGTTCCCAAACTGCGAAAGGGATGTCTGACTGCCAGCTTAGGCCCACTTCCCACAGGCCGGGCTGAGGGACCTCACCCCTGCAGTGCACAAATTTCGTGCACCAGGCCTCTAGTGTGATGATAATAATAATAATAAAAAACAAGAGGAAATAAACCCTAATTCAAATATGTCTTTACTAAAAAAATAAAATGACCAAGGTGAGGATCCTGCTAGAACTTTCTGACAATGCATGTGCACTCTCAGGCTGAAATAAAAACTACAAAATACTACTCCTTATTATACAGGGATAATGTTTTGATAAACATTATACGGGAATACTTAAATTATAAAACTTTTATGCTATTTAAGATATAAAATTAAGGTATGATTTAGAACGGCAAAGGAAAGAGAAATGAATATAAATTAAGACTCTCTTTGTGGGGGATGGAAACCATAACAAATAATGAAAATCAAGAATCTAAATGGCCTGCTATCTTGCCTAAGAACACCATACCGGGTTCCCTTCTGAAGACTCAGGGTAAAGGGGTTTGGAGTCTAGGGCAAGAAAACAATTCACTTGATCAGATGAAATTAAGTCTTATTTTAAGTTCTGACTCAGTGGCCCTAAGCAGACTACAGTAGTCTCCCCTTTTCAGGTTTCACTTTCCAGTTTCAGTTATCCTTAGTAAACCAAGGTCCAAAAAGATTACAAAGAAAATTCCAGAAACAAACGACATGTAAGTTTTAAGTTGTGAGCCATCCTGAGTGGAATGATGTAATCTTGCATTATCTCTCCCCCTCCCCGGCCCTGCCTGGGATGTGAATCATCCTTTTGTCCAGCATCTCCACGCTGTACGTACAAGAAGATATTTTGAGAGAAAGCAATTCACATAACTTATATTACAGTATTGTATAATGTTATAATTGTTCTATTTTATTATTAGTTATTGTTTTAAACTCTTACTGTGCCTAACTTTATCATAGCAATGTATATGTATAGGAAAAAACATAGTATATATAGGGTTTGCTTGGTTCTATCCGCAGTTTTAGGCATCCACTAGGGGGTTTTGGAATGTATCCCCTGTGGGTAAGGATGCAGGGGGCGAGGGGAAGAGTTTTTCCTGCTAGTTAAACAACTCATTTCTTGATTCAGTGCTTATAGGTTTGAACCATCATAAAAACATTTCTTATAATAAGGGGGAGGAGAGGGAAAACTGGCATCTGAGAGAACTCTAAGTATGAGAGTGGTCAAAACCTGAGTCTAGTGACCAAACTGGGGAGGGAGAGCAGTGGAGGGCCAGAATCCGCTACTTGGTCTTTCATTTCTGTTGGACATATGCACCACAAACTTTTGGCAGTCATCATTTATATGTTTACTGCCTATGAGACAAGTTGCTTTATAATAATGCACCTCTTATCTTCACAACAATCCACATGACACACAAGGAAACGGATACTCAGAGTGGTTAAGTAACTGCTCCAATTAACTGGTAGGGAAGCGGCAGAGCCATGATATGACCCAGCTCTCACTCCAGAGCCTGAGCTCCGTGCACGCTTCCACACTGACTCTCGAGGTTAGCTAACACGCTGGAGGAAGTGAAAAGCACGGGTCAGGGAGAAGACTCGTCTGTGAGAGCGCCTGCCACGTCTGCAATGCGCCTGAAAAAGGAACGGCCCAGGCTCCTTCTATGTGAAACAGCGTGACGAGTCCCCACCTGCAAGAGCTCTGCAGCGGCATCGGCAAGACCAAACTCTCTCAGGACTCGGATCTGGATCTCATAGCTGACCGTGGCGCCTTCCCCACAGTTCAGCGCGTAGGCTCTCTGCACCTGCTCCGTGTGTCGGAGCTCCTGCAGACGTCTGACCATGTCTTTCAAAATGAGGAGACGAGGAACTGGAAGAAGAAAAACCGTTTGTAGACAAATGCCTGAGCTACACAAAAGACCACCCATTGGCACAAGAAAAAAAAAACGTGTTTTGTATCAGAATCTTCTTATACATTTTTGATATTTTAATTTTCTGGCAACTTCGTACTGTATACATTTTTAATTTTTAAAAGTTTATTTATTGATTTTAGAGAGGGAGCGGGGGAGAAAAGAGGAGAGAGAGAAACACCGATTTGTTGTTCCACTTATTTATGCATTCAGTGACTGATGCCTGTATGCGCCTTGACTGGAAAATGAACCCACAACTTTGGCGTATGGGAACAACACTCTGGCCAACTGAGTTACCCAGACAGGCCTACTTCTAATTATTTCTTATGGTTTTACAATTTCACTGTGCCCAAAAGCTCTTGATAATACCAAACAGCATCTGAGCTATATTAGTTCACAGCCTAATACAATTTTACTTGAAATTCTCTTTAAATATCAGGATATTTCCTAAGTTTTTTTTTTTTTGGTTAATCCTCACTTGAGGACCTCCCCCAACAGTTTTAGAGAATGGAAGGGACAGAGAGAGGAAAGAGAGGGAGAGGGAAAGACAAAGAGAGGGAGAGAGAGAAACATCGATGTGAGAGAGAGACATCGATTGGCTGCTTCATGCACGCATCCTGATGGGGGCTGGGGATCAAACCAGCAACCCAGGTGTATACTCTTGACCAAGAATCGAACCCAAGACCCTTGGCGGGGGGGAGGGGTGGTCAATGCTCCAACCACTGAGCAACACAGGCCAGGGCTATTTCCTGTTTTAAAAACGTATTTACTTTTATTCATATAACTCCTTTTAAAATATATATATATCTTATGGATTTTTTACAGGGAGGAAGGGAGAGGAATAGAGAGTTAGAAACATCGATGGGAGAGAAACATCGATCAGCTGCCTCCTGCACACCCCCCACTGGGGATGTGCCCGCAACCAAGGTACATGCCCTTGACCGGAATCGAACCTGGGACCTTTTAGTCCAAAGGCCGACACTCTATCCACTGAGCCAAACCAGTTAGGGCTTCATATATCTCTTGAGTTCTGACTATGCACTAGGGATTGGGCTCAAGTATTAGGGTGCACAGAACAAAGACGTATTCCCTATCCTCAAAGAACTCTGATTTTAGTGAAGTAAACCAAGTAAACCAGTAGAGTACAGGGCCACAAATGGTCATGGAGAGAACTATGCAAAGGATACTGAAGGGATTTGAAGGAAGGGACCCTCAACCTGGACTGGAGGCAGGCAGGAAAGGCTGCCTAGACAAGGTGACCCCTGAGTGTAGTCATGAAGAATGAGAGAAAACCAGGCAGGCAAAGATATGGAGTGAAGGCTTTCCGAGCAGAAGGACCAGGCATGTGTAAAACATGCAAATGAGAGACAGTGCGGCCCAAGGAGTTGGCATGGCTAGAACTCAGGATTCCAAAGTGCAGGCAAGAAGAGCATTAAGGAGGGCTAGAAAGATGGGTGGGGCAGATCATGTGACAGGATCAGATCTGTAATGAGGTAAGTGCACTCTGAGAGTAGTGTCAAGCAGGAGTTGGCAAACTAGGGCCTGTAGGCTACATCAAGCTTGTTGGCTTTTTTGTAAATGAAGTTTTACTGGCACACAGCCACACCCATCTGTTTAGGTTATTATGGCTGCTTTTGGCCTACAACAGCAGAGTTGAACAGAGTTGAGTAGCTGTGACAGAAACTGCATAACCCACAAGCCTATAATATTTACCATCTGGCATTTCAGAGAAAAACTTTGCCGAGCCCTGGTATAAAGTCCAGAAGGGGAGTGAGTGAGGTTAGAGGCAGGAACACGGGTTAGGAACATGGAATAAGATGGCAGCATAATGTCTATGGAGCCAAACTGACTATTATTTAAAGTTCCTGCTTTGTGCCAGGCAAACCCCTAAGCATATTACTCGTGGTACTTGCTTATGTGTTCACAATAATCCTAGAAGGAGATAACTCCATTTTGCAGATAAGGAAATTAATGCGTAGGGAAGCAGATAGTGTATCCAAAGTGATACAAACGAAGTGGCAGAGCCAGGATAAGAGCCAATAAGCTAGATAGCCTTTCATTAGAGCAGTGGTTCTCAACTTCCTAATGCCGCGACCCTTTAATACAGTTCCTCATGTTGTGGTGACCCCAAACCATAAAGTTATTTTCGTTGCTACTTCATAACTGTAATGTTGCTACTGTTATGAATCGTAATGTAAATATCTGATATGCAGGATGTATTTAGGCGACCCCTGTGAAATGAATGACCCTGCATGTCACAATAAGGGATTTGAATTGTATCAAATCCCTGTGAAAGGGTCATTCGAACCCCAAAGGGGTCGAGACCCACAGGTTGAGAACCATTGCATTAGAGTATGGTGAGCAAGTTAGAAACAGGATAACACCAGAATAGGGTTAAACAACAGAAAATAGTTAAACAAAAGACAAGTCTTATTTTTCTGAGCATATTTAATTGTGAATATGTTCGGGCTTTTGAGATTCAGTTCTAAGATTAAATTATGTTATGTTCATGTATTAACTCAAGTTGATAAAAGTTACAAAAGTTTCAAAATCTGCACAAATCAGCTACAGAAATATTTCTCTTCATACTGTAATCCAATGTATACTTTAAACCAGCGGTTCTCAACCTGTGGGTCGCGACCCCTTGGAGGTGGAACGACCCTTTCACAGGGGTCGCCTAAGACCATCCTGCCTATCAGATATTTACATTACGATTCCTAACAGTAGCAACATTACAGTTATGAAGTAGCAATGAAAATAATTTTATGGTTGGGTCACAACATGAGGAACTGCATTTAAAGGGCCAGAAGGTTGAGAACCACTGCTTTAAATAATCATGTAGTGGACAAAACTGAAAAGGTAACCACAGATCAGATGTGGTTCAATTACAAGTTGTCACTATGGCCCTAGCTGGTTTGGCTGAGTGGATAGAGCAGCCTGTGAACTGAAGGGGCCTGGGTTCGATTCCGGTAAAGGGATTATATTTATTATATGGTTTCCAATAGGTGGTGCAGGAGGCACCCGATCAATGATTCTCTTTCATCATTTTTTGTTCTCTCTCTCTCTCTCTCTCTCTCTCTCCCTTCCTCTCTGAAATCAATAAAACACACACACACACATATATATATATATATTTTGTTGTTGTTGTTGTTGTTGTTGTCATTATGGCCAGGCTGATGTGGCTCAGTGGTTGAGTGTCAACCCAGGAACCAAGAGGTCACAGTTCGATTCCTGGTTCCTGGTCAGGACACAAGCCCAGTTTCAGGTTTGACCCCCAGTAAGAGGTGTGCAGGAAACAGCTGATTAATGATGTCTCTATCCCTCTCACTTTCTCTAAAACAAACAAACAATCAATACAACCATTAAAAAAAAAGTTGTATTATGTCTTTTATTTATCCTTATTTGAAACTGACATTTGCAAACAGAAAACAAATGGTGCCATTTCCAATAATGCTATAGTTTGATGGTTTTTAATAAATCTTGCAATAGTAATTGGCAAGAGTTATAAATTACTTACCCCACCTGCACTGTTGATTTCCTTATATTAGAAAATGACATTAGGGCCCTTTGGTTAAAATAAACATTAACTGATGTTCAGAAGTTTTTGGACATTGACAGTTACACCTCTACCTATGGCCACTTTCCTCAGAGTTGTATGAGGTAAGCCTACACTACAATAAAATTCACAGACCAGATCTTGGGAAACTGGATCTTCAGTAAACCAATGGTGATCACATTTTTGGGAGACATAAGCAGACTCAAAGATACAAGTTTATAATGCTATCCCCAATGGGGCTTATAATGTGAGAAATACCCTATGGTGATGAACTATCTAAATTCCTGTACATCAGTGGTCTCAGGAGTAGGTGGCCTTGTCCCACAGCGTGCATTTGGCAATATCTAGAAACAGAAAAATGTTTCCTAAGGCTTACAAAGGGATGTGTGCTACTGGCATCTAGTGAGCCCAGCGTAGGGATGCTGCCGAACACCCCACAATGCACAGGACAGCCCCACAACAAAGAATTATCCAGCCCTAACTGTCAAGAGGAACAAGGTTGAGAAACCCTGGGTGAAACTGAAAACTGTATATACCTATTACTATGAAATAAAATTCAAAACAAAAAACTTAGCTTATAAGTATGTATTCTTTCTTTTTTTAAACCCTCACCCGAGGATATTTTTTCCATTGATTTTTTTAGAGACAAGGGAAGGAGGAAAAGGGGGAGGGGGAGGGAGGGAGGAAGGGAGGGAGGGAGGGAGGGACGGGGAGAGAGAGAAACACTGACATGAGAGAGACACATTGAGTGGTTGGCTGCCTCCTACAAGTGCCTGGACAGGAACTGGGGATGAACCTGCAACCAAGGTACGTGCCCTTGGCTGGAAATTGAACCTGCAACCTTTGGATCTGAGGGCTGCTACTCTAACCTCTGAGTTAAACCAGCCAGGGCAGCATTTCTACTTTGAAGAGAACAATGCATACTGGGTATTGGATCGGGAGAGAATTACCACATGTAAAAGGATTACAAAAAGATCAAATTATCCTATATAATAAAAGGATAGTATGCAAATTTTCCCCTCAACTGGGAGGTTGTCTGGGAGTTCAAACAGGGGGCGGGGCTGGCCAGGGGAAGGGAGGGAGTATCTGGCCAGCAGCCACTAGGGACCCTACCAGTGCACAAATTTTGTGCACTGGGCCTCTAGTTTAAGTATAAATGCCTAAAACACGTTACAGCCTTACCTGGAATCTCATTGGCTACCACCGAAGGAGGGCTTGATTGGTTACTGCTGATCTGCTGGTGGCTGATCATGTGACAGCACTGTGGTACGGCATTATTGACCATGTAAAGTGTGTCTGGCACATTGGACATTCTAACCATTCGTAAACGCACAAGATCTGTTTGTTCCACCATCATCTCATCTAGCACTGACTGAAAGAACAATTCAGTATTAATAGAATTAGTAAACCCTTCATCTCTGTTAAATCACATTTGGAGATATATTATTACTTTCATCATATAAAAAGGGAATTACTTCATTGCTTCCAGTGTATGAAGTTTATAATTAGTGGTGAAAGGAGAAAGTACCCCTACCTCTTTAATTTTTAAATGATCTTTTGGAGTATCTTTGGAAAAAAAAATAACCACTTCTGAAAAGTTTCCTTTCAATTGAAGTATTTAAAATTTACAGGAAGAATATAAAATTAATCAGAAGTAAATTACACATAAAGTTACTATAAAGAAAACATGTAGCCCTAACCAGTTTGGCTCAGCAGATAGAGCATCAGCCTGTGGACTCAAGGGTCCCAGGTTCGATTCCAGTCCAGGGCATGTACCTTGGTTGCGGGCACATCCCCAGTAGGGGGCGTGCAAGAGGCAGCTGATCGATGTTTCTCTCTCATCGATGTTTCTAACTCTCTATCCCTCTCCCCTTCTCTCTGTAAAAAATCAATAAAATATATTTTAAAAAAAGAAGAAAAAAAAAGAAAACATGTATACATGGGCTAAACATCAGATAAAAAAAAAAGTCCTGGCTCATTGGCTCAATTTGCTGGGCGTTGTCCCGTGCACCAAAAAGGTTGCTGATTCCTGGTCAGGGCACATGCCTGGGTTTCGGGTTTGATCCCCCATAGGGGCGTGCAGGAGGCAGCTGATCAATGTTCCGCTCTCACATCAATGTTTTTTTCTCCCTTTCCCTTCCTTTCTCTCTAAAAATCAATTTTTAAAAAGTGCTCAAAAGACAAAATATTAAGAACTGATATTAATTGAATAGGTCTAGCCCTAGCTGGTTTGGCTCTGTGGATAGAGCGTCAGCCTGCAGACTGAAGGGCCCCAGGTTCGATTATGGTCAAAGGCACATGCTGGGGTTGCGGGCTCGATTCCCAGTAGGGGGGTGTGCAGGAGGCAGCCGATCAATGATTCTCTCTCATCATTGATGTTTTTATCTCTCTCTCCCTCTTCCTTCCTCTCTGAAATCAATGAAAATATATTTAAAAAATAAATTGAATAGGTCTATAAATAAACTCAGTTGTTAAAAATCAGTTTTAGATTAATCTATTTCACTAAACCAATCAAAATGATATAAATATAAACATTTTCTACTTTTTAAAAAAAATATATTTTATTGACTTTTTACAGAGCGGAGGGGAGAGGGATAGAGAGTCAGAAACATCGATGAGAGAGAAACATCGATCAGCTGCCTCCTGCACGCCCTCTACTGGGGATGTGCCCGCAACCAAGGTACATGCCCTTGACCAGAATCGAACCTGGGACCCTTGAGTCCGCAGGCTGACGCTCTATCTGCTGAGCCAAACCGGTTAGGGCCATTTTCTACTTTTTATTGGGGCAATTATCTACTTATGTATGGGTACAGCCATCTGAGAAACGGAAGTTCCAGGAGGACTAGTGATGAGCTTACTTTTTGAGACAAAGCAGAATGGAGAGTAGGCCTAGTTTATTACAGACCATTTATTCCCAGACTCAACCTTTTGTAAAGGCCTCAGTTGCTTCAGTGAATCTGAGTACTGAATTTATTTTAAAAGGACCAGGCACAACCATTCTGCTTTTTCTCGCTGTTTTAGAATTATTTGAAATGTCAATCAGTCGATAAGAGGTAGATTATTAACCTAAGCAACAAAATAAACTCACAAATCCTTTCATGTATCTTAAACTAGGAACTCAGATAATAAAAACAAGATAAATAATTCTATATCCAAACACACACTGTTTCGCCTCTTCCTTTATTTCATAAAGCTTAATGGTGATTTCTGACTTTCAAAGACTGGCTGTTTCTCAAAAGGCCACTCCAAACTTCTTCTGGCTGAATACATCTAATAAAAATTACAGTATTTCATTTTTACATTACCATATTTTCTAGAAGAATTGTTATAATAGTCATAATGCCAACTATTTGCTGAATAGAACTGAAATTTTTTCTTAGTATGTGCTCTTATTATAAACTAAACACAAATTCCAGCAGTCAGCTGGAATGTGTTACAGAAATGTGTTACAAGAAATGATAGCAATTCTTTACTTTATGAAGGAAGACACAATGTGTGCCATCTTCTTGCAGGACATTTTCCCATGCTGAAGATCACAAAATACTGACAACCATTTCAATAAAAAAAAAACACAAAAAGAAAACCTTTCAAGTTAACATTTTACAAGAAAACTAAAATGAGAAAAATGTAAAATGCAATTTAACATGACCTAAATTATAAAAATATGCTTGATAATTAAACATTTCAGAAAAGTATTCTACTGAGCAGTCAAACTAGAATTTATGTTTACTTTCTGATTATTGGACATATAGGCCATTTCCAAATATTTAAATAATGCCACAATAAATACTTTGTGCTTACAGTTTATAATACAGTGATCTAATGTCTGAAAATCTTTTTCATTACCTTTGCTTCCTCCACATAGGGAGAGAAGAGTCGAGGACGAACATATATTCCAGCATTTTTTTGCCGTAACCAGGCATTTGACTTTCCACCTTCTGATGTAGGAAGCATATCTGATGGAGGAGTACTAATCAAGCCTCTTTTCATCTTGAAAAAAATTATTTTTTATAAAGGTATTTGTGTAGCACTACAATACTAACATAAAAATAATTATACCTACAAATCAAAATGTTCAAACTACCATTTGTATAAAAATTTAGGAATGTATGTAAAATTTAAAAATACTTCAAATGTTTAATAATATTTAAAGGACTTGGAAATAAAAGGTAGTACAATTTCCCATTTTTCCTCTAAACAGAGGAATGATGTTTTTAAAACAAGAGCTATATTAATGAAAAAATGTAACGAGTTGAACTTTCAAAATTCTTAATGAAACCAATTATTATTTTTTTCCTTGCTCATCTAGGAATTGATTCCATCCCCAACTTAGTTCCCTCCCCCCAAGACAAATCAAGAACTAGAGAGCTAGTGTCTACAGTACAAGGATAGAGGCAGTTGTACATGGTGCTTAGGGGCAGTGACTCCAGGGGAAGGCAGACTTGGCTCAAACCTTAACTCCCCATTTAACAACCTTGTGACCATGACATCTCCATTTACCTGGGCCTCACTTTAAGGGCTCCTAGATGGCCCTGGAGATGGGACACCACACAACTAACTGTGGTAGCCCTGTTGTTTCCTCATCTATGCTAGGAGAATATAAAACAAGTACCCACAGCACATAAAGTGGCTGTGAGGATAAAATGGGTTTGGTACAGTGCTTAGAACTTCCGGTTGACAGCTATTATTAGCGAACTTTTCCTGGGTGGGGACTTATGTGATAGCCATGGAATTAAGAGTATCAATATATTTTTTCTCAGTCTACTAAACCAAAGTTCTAAAATATTTTTCTAAGTTAAATTCAGGGTTCAAATCGGTTTGAGTCTCGGATTTTAAACAAAACCAAACACTGTTTCTCCAATCTTATTCTTGTTAAACATTAATAAATGTCTAATTGCTGCATTAGTTAAAATTATTTTTAACTAATAAAATTAGCAGTAGGTGGTATTTAGAGAAAAAACTCGTAACTCTAACCCAGCCGTGGGCAAACTATGGCCCGTTTGAAATGAATAAAACTAAAAAAAAACAAGACCGTACCCTTTTATGTAATGATGTTTACTTTGAATTTATATTAGTTCACACAAACACTCCATCCATGCTTTTGTTCCGGCACTCCGGTCCAGTTTAAGAACCCATTGTGGCCCTCGAGTCAAAAAGTTTGCCCACCCCTGCTCTAACCTATTACAACTATAATAATGTTGCTATATTTCCTTTTTTCAAATAAATTTTAACGTAACTGCATTCTAGAATACATAAAATACACATTTTATATCCTTCTTTCTAAAATTATATTCCATTATCAGCATTTTTCATGATGCGCTATTAGTAATTATAACCACTGTACAGGACAGCAAACTATTCTGTTGCGTAGTTGTACTATAATTTACTTATTTTCCCTGTTCTTAGATATTTAGACTAATTCCAAGTATTTAATGACAATGTTATCAATGTACCAGCTATACTTCTCCTACGGGATAGTAATATTATTTCAAAAATCACTGACCTAATAGGTGAAAAAATGGTAACTTACTGTTTTATTTTGCTTTCTTTGGGGTATGTGATTACTAATGAGACTGCACATTTTTCTAATCAGAGATTCCATAAATATTTGTTTTCTTCTAGTTTTCCATGTTTCAATTTAATATTTAATTCTTCAATCTAACAGGAATTAATTTTCTGTGCAAATGAAATGAGGGTTTAACTTTAAACAAATGTCCTCCCTTCCCCATTCATCAGTTAGTCTAGCACCACACTGACTTGTGATAGCTCATTTACTATGTTTAATTCTTTTATTAATTAGGATCTTTTTCTAGGCTATTTGTCTTGCCTGTTATGCTAGCATCAGAGATTATAATTAGACTTTTAAAATGTACTTTACATTCTGGAAGAGTTATCCATCCTTAATTATGTTCTTTTTAGGGACCTTTAAAAAAATATTGTGTTTACAGCATTACCTTAAAGTTATAAAACAATGTACGAGGAACTAATATTTGTAATATTTCTCCTCCCATCCATTAATCTGAACAATTCTATTAGTTTAAAAACTCTTTTAAAAAATAAAATTAACAAAATCAGCTCCATTAATTTTTAACTGAAATACCATTATAAGATTCATTCAGCCTTTTTACACTGAACCATTCATTCTCCTTTCCTCCTGTTTTCTGATTTATTTCTGTTCTTGAAGTCTCCCCAAAGGTAATTTCTAACCTTCCCTTTTTTAATAAGAATATACTTGATCTACACTGACAAATGCTGAATTAAACCCTAAGAAACTATCCTCTTGCAAAAGTAACGATATACACATTCAACTCTCATTCACCAAACACTTATTTGTGCTGTGTGCCAGGTATGAGGGATTGGGGGATATAATATAGTACAAAACAGACATCTGTCTCTGACTTCAATGAATTCAGTTTCACAATACTCTGTTCGTATAATTATTTACAATGATAAACAAAGATAAGCCTATACATTTTAGTGCATTTTCTTTTCATGAAAGGGATAAATGAAGACACACACTTACTGCATCACTTAGGACTTCACTGTTTATAGGTAAGATGTGTTCAACGCGAACAAAAGGTAAGAGAGAAGAAAGGATCTCTCGAAGCTCTTCAATGTCCAGGTCTCGTCTTTTCACACCTCTTTTGTTCACACTATGAGCAGTGCCACTCAGTAAGTTTGGTTCTGTGAGACAGAAAATAAAAAGTCTCCAACCAAATCCAAATTTTCAGAAGGCTTTCTTCTCTAGTATATTTTCAGTACCATTCTTTATATTTTAGTACACCTGTTTTAAAAAGGGTTATAACTTACGTTTTTTTTTAATGTTTTTATTGATTTTTAGAGAGAGAGGAAGGGAGAGGGATAGAGAGATGGAAACATTGATGATAGAGAAACATCACTGTTCTGAGAGAGGAACATCATCGATTGGCCTCCACTGGGGATTGAGCCCACTACCTGGGCATGTGCCCTGTCCAGGAATCAAACCAGTGACCTCTTGGTTCCTGGGTTGACGCTTAACTGCTGAGTCACACTGGCAAGGCAAATTATGTTTATATTTTATGAAGTTTAGTTAATAAAAATGTTCTGACAGAGAAAAAGCATGGTGTCAACAGTATAACATTCTTTTATGATTTTCCTGCACTACAAAATAGAGGATTTTTTTCTGTACACTAACTCAAAGGAAAAGATGATAATCTATTAAAATCTAGTTTGACTGAGGGCTTTTTCTTAAGCTTTCTCACTTTTGTGACCAGATTTTAGTACAATAAGGGCACTGTAGAGCAAGTACTATTTCTGGTCACTGTAGGTTAATGGTATACTCATTAGGCTACCATTTGTTTAAAAGCAACTTAACAAGATATTAATCTCCTGGCAGCAAAATAAGGTATACTCTAAAATTCTTTGCTAGTCTCTCAAATTTCCATAAAATGGGAATGTTCCTGCAGATAAGTGAACCCTTTAATCTCTAACATGTATATTTCCATTGTCCAGAGCAGAGAATAAAGGTTTTCTTTATTGGTTATTAGTAAAAGGGGAAGATTTACCATGCTTACATACATGTAAGATTTACATGCTTACAATACTGAGGTGAGAAAAATTTACATAAATGTTGGGAATCTTTAATCATGTCTTTAATCTAGGGGGTGTATTTTTTTTCAAAAGGAGATCTTTAGCCCTGGCTGGTTTGGCTCAGTGGATAGAGCGTTGGCCTGTGGACTCAAGGGTCGCAGGTTCGATTCCGGTCAAGGGCGTGTACCTTGGTTGTGGGCACATCCCCAGTGGGGGGTGTGCAGGAGGCAGCTGATCGATGTTTCTCATCGATGTTTCTGACTCACTATCCCTCTCCCTTCCTCTCTGTAAGAAATCAATAAAATGTATTTTTTAAAAAAAGGAGATCTTTATTATTCACGAATATAAATGGCAGGTATTTTGCAACGTCTGTAGGCTAACTGGTATTTCCTTTAAATCATGTGATAGGTAGGTAAGGAGATTGTTTTTGAGAAGTTAAGCTTTTACTGCAGTTGTGTGAAATAAAATTGCCGCAAGTGTGTGAAAAAGGTTTTTGTCCTTGCCTTGCTATGATCTGCCTTCATACTTACACAAGACATTGCTTTTTTTAAAAAAAAAAAACTTTTTTCTTTAGTAGTGTTTTCAAATGGAATCTTACTTTAAACTCCCAAATATGTAACAGGTAAGGTCAAAACCCTAATCTATGAGGGTGACTAAAAAAAGTGTAACCCGGTTTGCTTAGCTTCCTTCTCATTCCTGTAAAAGAGCCTGACATTCTAACCCAGCCGTGGGCAAACTACGGCCCGCCCTTTTATGTAATGATGTTTACTTTGAATTTATATTAGTTCACACAAACACTCCATCCATGCTTCTGTTCCGGCCCTCCGGTCCAGTTTAAGAACCCATTGTGGCCCTCGAGTCAAAAAGTTTGCCCACCCCTGGGCTAGATGCTCAATGCAGGAGCCCGGCTCATGGCTGGAGAGCGTAGCAGCAGTGGTGGGGGCAGTAAGGAACAAGGGGTCCCAGACTACAAGAGCGGTCGGGCCTAAGCCAGCAGGCGGACATACCCCAAGAGGTCCTAGACTGGGAGATGGCATAGGCCGGGCTGAGGGACCTCCCCTCCGAGTGCACAAATTTCATCTATTGGGCCGAGAGAGAGAGAGAGAGAGAGAGAGAGAGAGAGAGAGAGAGAGAGAGAGAGAATGCCTAAGCGACCAGAATGACCAGTCCGTATAACGCGCACTGACCACCAGGGGCAGACACTCAATGCAGGAACTGCCCCCTGGTGGTCACTGTGCTCCCACAGCCAACCTCCCCCAGTCCCTTCCCCCCGGCTGCCAGGCCCCAATTGCCCGATCAGAGCCAGGCCCTAGATTGGGATGGGAGTGGGTGGTGGTGGGTGCAGCCCCTTTCCAAGGGGGGGCCAAGGACCGGCTTCCTCCTCAGGGCTGGCGGCCAAACACCTGCACCCTGTCCTCCCCCCAACCGGCAAGTCCTGATCTGCCCACCGCCCACCTGCCGTGGTGGCAGCACGGTGACAGCACGGCAGTGAGGGAAGGTGGGTGCGGGGAGGGGGAGGAGGAAGCGGGGAACCATGCAGTGATGGCATTGGCATTAGGCGTCCGTTCCTTCAGCCTCCAGCCCAGCGACTGTCACCTCCTCTCCTGACCCCGCCGGGGCCTTTGGGCCCTGGGCTGGGGCAGGAAACTGGGGTGGGTGGCAGCGGACACAGCCCCTTTCCCAGGGGGGCTGAGGGCTGGCTCCCTCCTTGGGGCCTGTGGTCAATCTCCCATGTCCTGTCCCTCCCCGCAGCCAGCAGACCCCAAACGGCCCGCTGCAGGAAGGAAGAGGGTGGGAGGCAGGGAACTGTGCGGTGGTGGCGTTGGCATCCGTTCCTCCCGCACCCGGCCTGGAGACAGTTGCCTCCTCTCCCAATCCTGCAGGTGCCTTCGGCCCCAAATGGCCCGGCCCTGATGGCCAGCCAGGCCTAGGGACCCCACCCGTGCACGAATTTCATGCAACGTGCCTCTAGTGTTCTATAAAGCCGCTGTGAACACTGAATCACTGCTCCTAAGGGAAACACAGGGATAGGTTCCAGGGAGCCTCTGGTTACATTTTTGCCAATTGATCAAGATATAACTTTGTCTTGTGTGTGTTTCTGTTTAAAGAAACCTTAGTAACATATATGTTGATTCATTAACACTGAACTCATGGCCAATAGATAACTCATACCTGAACAAAGCTTATCTAACACACATTATCTCTGTGAGGCACATCACAGCCTTCGTATGCTTAGGAACATCAGACAGCACTAAGCATTACACTTGGAGGCCATTTTAAACAGTGAGATTATCCCCAAACCTCGTTAAGAATGCAAAAAACATGGCACTAAATACACTGTGAAAGGACATGTTTACAATATGAGAGCAGAAACAAGAAGGCAAAGCATCATCTCGTTTCAAATTAAGGTGAGAACATATGCATCAGGAGACTCAAATTTTTTGTCACTCCGCACATGTCTGCAAATGCCCATGAAAGTGTTAAGAGTACTGATTTGGGGAATGCAAATACATTTTAGCAAGTAGGTGAATTTGCAAATACATAATCTGCAGGCAAGGGGGATAGACTGTATACTGGCATTACAAAAATGTCCCAAACTAATAGTAATGGTTATTTTTTTAAAAATATATTTTATTGACTTTTTACAGAGAGGAAGGGAGAGAGATAGAGAGTCAGAAACATCGATGAGAGAGAAACATCGATCAGCCGCCTCCTGCACGTCTCCCACTGGGGATGTGCCCGCAACCAAGGTACATGCCCTTGACTGGAATCGAACCCGGGACCTTTCAGTCCGCAGGCCGATGCTCCATCCACTGAGCCAAACCGGTTTTGGCAGTAATGGTTATTTTATTAAAAATTTCAAATCTTAGAATTGGTAAAGGCTTTTGCAGGCCACAGAGAAATAAATGAAATCAAATGGGAAGACTGCTTTTGTTCCCTAGTACTTGAATAGTAGTGTATTAAAGAGATATATAAGAAGGTTTGAAGACAGGCTAGCTTGATATTTTTATATATTTAAAAATGTGGCAAAACAACTCTATAAACTTATTACTAAAAAACACCGACCATGAACACTTTAAAGAGTTGAACTTTGTGGTATGTAAGTTATTCTATATAAAAAAAGCCTAATATGCTAAGTGTCAGTCGTCCAGTTGGCCATTCAACCAATCAAAGAGTAATATGCTAATGATATAAGGCTGCTCAACCTCTCACTATGACGTGCACTGACCACCAGGGGGCAGATGCTCTGACTGGTAGGTTAGCTTCCTGCTGGGGTCTGGCCAATTGGGACTGAGCATGACGGGTTAGACATGCCCTGGAGCCCTCCAGCAGTCCCTCCTTGGCTGGCCAACCTCCTGCATCCCTCCCCGGCCCCAATTATGCATCAGTGGGGTCCCTCGGCCTGGCCTGCTCCCTCTTGCAATCCAGGATGTTGAAGAGCTGTTTTCGGCCTGATGGTGGAACAACCCGTCGCTATGATGCGCACTGACCACCAGGGGCAGATGCTCAATGCAGGAGCTGCCCCCTGGTGGTCAGTGTGCTACCACATTGGAAGTGCCACTCAGCCGAGAAGCTGGGCTCATGGCTGGCGAGCTCAGTGGCGGTGGTGGGAGCCTTTCCCACCTCTGCGTCCCCTGAGGGCTCCCAGACTGAGGTAAGGCGCAGGCCGAGTTGAGGAACCCCCCCCAAAGTGCATGAATTTTGTGCACTGGGCCTCTAGTATCTAAATAAAGCTGTTGAAAAATGACAGGGAAGGAAAGTTTGTATTTAATTTTTCTAATTAAAGTTTTTTGTTTTGGGTTCATTACATAGAAATACAATATTCTATGAAGAAAGGAGTACAGGGAGGTAGACTAATCCTGGATATAAATAAAAGAATCAGCTTCCAAAGTTGAAAGCTCACCTCCTATTACGATGTTTCCATCTTTTCTAAAGTATCCCCAATTGAAGGCCACTCAAAATTATGCTTTCTCCCTTACCTTCCACAAATTTAAAAATAAACAGCAAATATGCTTTTTTTGGGTAGTCATATATATTTTTTTATTGAGGTAAAATTCACATAACATAAAAACCTCACCATTCTAGAAGAATACTGGTTTTTTAATAAATTTACTTTGTGCACTCATCTCCACTCTCTAATTACAGAACATTTTCACCAACAAGAATACTTTAATTATTTCACTTCTACTTCTACTGTAAATCAGTCAACATTTAATATTAAGAACATAGAAAGATAACATTAAAAGTATTCTGCCCTGGCCAGGTAGCCCAGTTGGTTAGAGCAGGGGTCCTCAAACTACGGCCCGCAGGCCACATGCAAATACAAATATTGTATTTGTTCCCGTTTTGGTTTTTTACTTCAAAATAAGATATGTGCAGTGTGCAATTTGTTCATAGTTTTTTTTAAAACTATAGTCTGGCCCTCCAATGGTCTGAGGGACAGTGAACTGGCCCCCTGTTTAAAAAGTTTGAGGACCCCTGGGTTAGAGCATCGTTCAGATATGCTAAGGTTGTGGGTTCAATCCCCAGTCAAGGCACATACAAGAATCAATCAATGAATGCATGGATGAGTAGAACAACAAACCATTGTTTCTCTCTTTCTTCCTCTAAAAATCAATTTTAAAAAAAGTATCCTTTTAAAGCCGCAAAATATAAGTTTGTGGTATATTTATCTCTAACAAAGTATACCCTCCTCTCCACTAAAGGGTTTTGCCAATTGTAAAAATTTTTATTTTCACCAGGCAACGTTGATTATTGTCAAGACTGACATGTAGCATCATGTCAGTAAGCTTTTGGGGAAAACAGTGCAAGCTAATTTTCTGAGCTTACCTCTGTCTGCTATTCTTTTCATCAGCTGGTGCTCACCCCATTTAATCAGATATTTAAGGATATCTTGTTCACTTGCCTATAATAAAAAAATGGTTTATTCTTATTTTGGTGAAATTAGGTAAATGGTTGTTAATTTCATTAATGATTTCTCCTAGGACCTAGGTCATAAAGTAAAGACAACATGCAACTTGCCTACCACATTTCACCCTTTACACTGGCTGTCTGAAATGTTCCAGTTAAATTTTCTGTCCATCAATAGCAAAGACAAAGACTGTGTTACATGGGTTTTGCCCAGTAATCTCACTCTTTGCTCCAACTAAATTTTTTATTCTTATTTCCATCTTTATTTTTTTCTTTATCGTTTTCTTCACCTATTATACATTTATTTTATCTTACTATATGGTCTTTATACAGTTGCCTTAAATTCTTTTTGGAACAAGTTGGAGATAAATAAGTAAAAATTAAAGATTAAGGATACAGAGTGGCTACTACCTCCTGCAGGAACAATCCCCAAAAGATAGTCTACTGATTTTAAGACCCTTTAAGCACAATTTGTGAAATGCCAAGGTACCCCTCATTTCTTCATATTCTATCTTAAATCTTAAAGCAAACCTAGGCTGCTCTCCAAGGTTTTTCTAAGAAGAAACACAAAGCTTCTGAAGACAATAACCTGAGAACTGACAAATCCTAACTTCCATGATGCATGCAGTCTGGACAAGACAGTAAAACAAGGTTAATAAACACAAATCTTAGTAAATGAAATCCAACATGACAACATTTGTGCTGCAATCAAAGCACAGATACTAAATGAATTATTTAACTTTTCGCTGCACTTCTGACTGAGATGAAAGCATTTTATAATTTCTTTAGTAAAACTATAAAAATTAAATGGCTTAATGGGTTTTTGCCTTCATAACATTTAAAACTGTTGTACAATTTTCTGCATAATATTCATACAACTGATGCAAAAGAAAATTAAGCTTGAACATACCTAAAAATATTTTTCCAATATTTTAAATCTACTGTTAGTTTTAACTACAAAATTATAGATAGATATATAAGTCAAGAACACAGAATTTGCTAAAAATTGTTTTGGATTAAAAATAAGTAGTTGAAAACATTATTATACTTTGGTAGTACACATATACAGAGTTTTTATGAGTATTTGAGTAGATCAAAAATTATTACTACTACTTTATGCTGCTTAAACTACTGTCTACAGTCTAAGTATCTCACACTCCACCAAAAATAAGAAACTGTATGTGTATAGTGAATTCACTACTCATGGAAGCGAAGAAAATCACTGTTGGGATGTGCTTCTGACCCTGCCTATTGCCTCAAACCCTTTGGTGTGGTTAGTCAGGACCCAGGAGGGCTCACAGTGTTGTTAGAGTGCACGAAGGGCCAGAGAGCCACAAGGCTTTGTTGCACACATGTGAAGAGGGCATTCCTAGGTAGGTTGATCTCCCTAGATGGGAGAATAACAGAGTACAGACGGGTTTCTTGGTGCACATATGAATGACCATGAATCTGAGAGGTGTATAAATGGTTACCTGTAGGTAGTCAGACTGGATAGCAGTAAGTAGATGGTCTTTGCTGAGCTCATAAAAAACATCCGAAGTCATGACCTGGGAAAATTCCTCACAGAGGAAATGTAAAGCTTGTCGGTGCACCCATTTGGAGCCATATGGATGAGAGCTCCACTTGAGGATGGCAATTAAGGTATCTAATGAGATGCTCTCAGCAATGATATCCTCACAGCCTAAAAAAGAAGGCAAATACTTCTTGAGATTAATCATAAATATTACTCAATGAACATTAGTGTGTTTGACACTATACCTAAAAGTAGCCATAGTAAAAAAGAACAAGGAGATAAATAAAATCTCATGGAAATCACCAAGACTTGGTGGGATGGGGTAATAATAAGTAACAATAGACTATGACTTCTATAGGAAATCTGCTGTTAAAGAGTCAGATCCATAGAAAAAGGCAGGGAATCCTCACAATTGTTTAAGAAAATAAACATCTATGTGAAAATCACCAGGATACTGAACCAAAGGGGAAAGAAAATTAGGTAGAAATGATAGAGCTGTAGGAATTTGCCAGAGGAAGGATATGGATGACAACTGACTGACCGCAAGAGTCTGCACTTGCAAAGAAGGTGGGCTATCTTCTTTGAACTATGAGGACATCTGCTCTTGGTATTACCCTAATAAATAAAACTTGCACTTTGAAGCTTAATCCCTCAGAATACAAATAAAATTTTGCAGTTTGATGCTCACCTGGGATTAATTCTGGTGAATTATAAAGGAATAAGTAGTTTAAGTGAAAAGGAGAAAAGGATCAGGATCCTGGAGAGAGTGACTTAAGAGCAAGAAACAAAGACAGAAAGAAAGACAGGAAGAAAGGAAAAAAGGAAGAAAGAAAGAAAGAGAAAATCCGAGGCTAGTCAGTTATTTTCCTTAGGAAAGATCATTCCAAAATATAAAGATAAAATATAAATAAAACCTGAGCGACAAAGATTGTAGAACAGAAAATGGCTAAAGTTGGTCAGAAATTCTTCATAACTAAGTTTACTAAAAAATAAAAAAGGACCCTGATAACATGGGGGGTAGGGGAGTGTGAGGGCTGTAAAAGATATAGCCAAAAGAAAGTATATCAGTGAACTCCAAATCCTTCCAAAGCTCAGAATTACTGTGGGACCATGAAAGGTGAACAGAAAGGTAATGAATCCCATTTTCAGGAGACATATCATAAGTAGCTAATATAAACTCTGCAAAAAGTAATGCTTCATTATTCCCTTTTCTGATATGGTACCAGATAAGGAGAATATCATAGAGAATTGTGTAATCCATCTTCTGCAAAACATTTAACAAAATACTTCCTGCTATTTCTAGATTGTTAGCTCCACAAAACAGGGACTGCTGTCTTCACTCTATCTCTAGCACCTTCTTGCACACGGTACATGCTAAATAAAAATCTGTTGAGTGTACAAATGACATCTTTGCTGATATAATGAAGAGATGTAGATGGATGACAGAACAATGGTTAACAAAACCATTTGTCAGTAGCACTGATTAACTTGGGGGATGCACTGGCAAGTCTCTGTTTCTGTGATGTTTATCAAGAACTTGAACAAAAGACATGGAAAGTATGCTTCAAAATCTCCAGATGCCCTAAAACTGGGAAACACAGTTAACAACCCACTGGATAACATGACTATAATTGGATAAAATGATGGGTCAAAATGAATATGAAATATAACTAGGAAAAATAGTAAGTTCTATAATTAGATCAAAGAAAATCAACTGCACAGATGACAAGGGAGAGTTAGCTTAACTACCACCTATGTAAAAATAATATCTGGGTATTTTAAGTGAATGAATGTAAAATGTAACATGGTTGCTATAAAGCTGAAGCAATATCAGACTGTTAAGATATGAACATAGATAGCCCAGGCTGCTGTGGTTCAGTTGGTTGGGCATCATCCCGTGCACCAGGAGGTTGCGGGTTTGATTCCTGGTCAAGAGCACATGTCCTGGTTGCGGACTTGATCCCCTGCGTGCAGGAGATAGCCAACCGATGCTCTGCTCTCACACTGATGTTTTTCTCTCTTTCTCCCTCTTCCTTCCTCTCTAAAAATCAATAAACTATTGTTTAAAAAGAAAACATGCATAAAGTCCTAATCAAAGGAATAACATCGCACTGCTCCCCTGCGAGGTGCTATGTTCTGCTCTGGGCCCTGTGTTTTAAGATGGAGCACTAACAAAACTCCAGAATCCTCAGAGGAGAAAGTTTAAGACTTGTCATAGGAGAAAAGGCCCAAGCAAACAATATTATTTCACTTATGTCTCTAAAGAGAGACTAAGCTACCTTTAACCCTTTGTATGCCATAAACGTCTATAGACGCAAATACAAAATATCGTGGCATGTGGGGATGGTTTCTGTTTTGGACGCGTTGGCAGTTAAGTGGATGGATCTTCGTGAGGCAAAGGAGAAAGGACTGACTTCTCTGTTGTTCCTATGGCAGGTCCTGGGAATCAAATAGATGTTAAAAGAAGGATTTTGACTCAAAATATTAAGAAATATTTCTAATTTCAAGTTTCTAACAATTAGAATTGTTCTCTCCTCCCCTCATAAAAAGGATCCTTCTTGAAAAATGTAGGAGCAAAAGCTAACTCATCATATTAGAAATAGAAGACAAAAAACCCCTATACAAGATATAGAACTAAGGTCAGATGACATTTAGGCTGCTTTTGCCACAACGATAAAGTCATTTTTAGAAAAATGTAACAGTAAACATAAGAGTAATTAAATCTAAAGATTAAAATTTAATTTAAACATTAAAATGAAATCCTTATAAAGAACATTGAGACCACCACAATAAAATCTGCATGTAAACACCACCCAAAGACATGAATATGTGCTGATGAGAACTGGAAAATACCGGAAAGTTCTGAATCGTTCTTGTGGTTTTATGGTGAGCCTGAATACCACGCTGAGGAGGACAGGCCTCTCCCAGTAGCCAGTGGAGGACTTCTGTCAAGTCTGTTGTTTTAAGGTAGGCATTGGACTAAAACTGAGTATGATAAGTCAATCTGATAAATGTGTTCGGGAATGAAGCACAGGAAATTAGAAACACTCACACACACACACACACACACACACACACACACACACACCAGTTATTTAAAAGGATGTATCACAATCCTACTTAGCCAGGATATTGGCAGAGGTAAATAAAGAAAACTAATGATAACATATTATTTAAACTGGAGGTTGACAAAGAAGACACAGTAAAAAAAAAGGGGGGAGGGGGAGGGGTTTTGAAACCATACAGATTGGACTAGAAATCCCACTTTGACCACTTAGAACCAAAGTCACTTAAACCTCTCTGAGCCTGAAATGTTCTCATTTGTATTAAACTCCTAACTTTGGGTTGTTATGAGGTTGAAATGAGACTGTACCCTTGACACCCTTCATTTGTTCCAACATTCTAGAGTACCTACTGCCAAGTGCTGTGAATGCACAGCTCCTTTAACTGCACACTTTCCTGGGTGATGTTATCTGCCTCCGTGCTCTTAACTCTCACTAAATCCTTATGACTTTCAAGTCTACAGTTCCAGCCCAGAGCTCTCTCCTAATTCCCAGACTCACTCCTTCTACTTCCTACTGAAGAGTTCCATATGGAAATTCTGTACACATCTCAAATTCAAAAATCATTCATTTTATCTGAGAAATCTAGTACCCCGTTTTTAATCCCTAGTTTGAAAAAAAGGATATCTAGCTCTGGCTGGGTACTCCATTGGTTAGAGCATCGTCCGGGTATGCCAAGATTACAGATTTGATCCCTGGTCAGGGCACATACAAGCAGCAACCAATAAAAGCATAAATAAGTGGAACAACATATGGGTATTTTTCTCAAATCAATAAAATCAATCAATATAAAGAAGGATACCTCATCTCCCCAGTCACCAAGGCCAGAAACCTGAGTACTATTATTATTGAGTCCTTCTCCTGAAGCCCATGTGCAAGCGACCATCAATTACTGACCACCCTATTCTTATTTTAAATCCACCCCCTCCAATGAAACTGAATCACTATATCACTAATAAAAATTAATTCAAAATGGATTAAGAACTTAAATGCAAGATCTGAAACTATAAAATTCTTAGAAGAAAACTTCAGAAAAAGGCTTCTTGATGTTAGTTTTGGCAATGACTTTTTGGATGTGGCACTAAAAGCAAAAAATTAACCAGTGGGATATCAAACTAAAAATGCCTCTGTACAGAAAAAGAACAATCAGCAAAATGAAAGGCAACTTACAGAATGGGAGAAATATTTGTATACCATTATCTAATAAGGGGTTAATATCCAAAATATATAAGAAATTGATACATCTCAATAGCAAACAATCTGATTAAAACATGGTCAGGGGATTTGAACAGACATTTTTCTAAAGACATAAAAATGGCCAACTAGTACATAAAAAGGTGCTCATATTACTAATTATCAGGTAAATATAAATCAAAACTACAGTGAGATATAATCTCACCTGTTAGGCTATTATCAAAGAGTCAAGAGATAGTACTGGCGAGGATATGGAGAAAAGGGAACCCTAGTGCACTGTTAGTGGAAATGTAAATTGATACAGTCACTACAAAAAAACAGTATGGAGGCTATTCAGATTATAAATAGAACCACCATATGATCTAGCAATCCCTCTTCCAGGTACATATACCCAAAGATGATGAAATCACGATCTCAAACAGATACCTGTGTTCCCATTTTCATCGCAGCATTAATCACAGAAGCCAAAACATGGAAACAACTCAAAGTGTCCATCAACAGATGCATGGATAAAGAAAATGTGTTACACGGGGTGAGGCAACAGAAGATTTACAGTTGTGAGTATGCAAAACAAAGAGTTTATTTTTATTATTTATTAATTATTGTATTACTAGAGGCCCAGTGCACAAAAATTTGTGCACTCGAGGGGGAAGGGGGGGTCCCTCAGCCTGGCCTGTGCCCTCTCCCAGTCTGGGATCCCTCGAGAGATAACACCCTGCTGGCTTAGGCCTGCTCCCGCGTGGCAGAGGGCAGGCCCAATCCCTAGGTGCAGCCCCTGGTCGGGCTCAGAGCAGGGCCGATTGGGGAGTTGGGGCGCCGCCCCCTGTCATGCACAGAGCAGGGCGGATCAGGAGGTTGGGACGCCGCCACTGTCACACTCAGGGCAGGGCCGATGGGGAGGTTATGGCTCTA